GAAGGAGCAATATCAATGAGCAATCCCACATCATTCAAAGTGGATTTTAAGACCTGTGAATCTTGAAAGATGCAAGATGAGAATTAGCAAGATCAGTGAGCAATCCCACATCGCTTGGGAGGGAAAGGTAAAGTGCCATATATGTATGTGCACTTGACTTCCTAGCGAGAGGCCTTTTAGGCAAGAGAGCATAAGCTTAAGTGCTAGGAAACAAAAGGTGAGGGTTCAGGCCCTTCAATATATCTAACTATTGACTAAATACCAAAAGAGTATCTGAAATTTTCAAATATAATTGTCGACTAAGGGCTCGTTTGGGAGTGATTACCAAAACAATATATGAAAAATATCAATATCCACCATACACCAAATACTCTAAATTTTTACCCGATACAAAATAATCTACTTTCATTCACAAATTGAAAACAAAATTTCAACATATAGAACGAACAATAACCAACGAATTCCTTAAGAAAATATTTATTCCAAAGCAACAAGGCTCCCATACATTTCTTATTATGAGCAGAAATCCAATTAGCTTTTGTAATGTTCATTATTTTAGCAACACTATTAGCTCATCTGTGGTGGTGGTTTAGGCCACTCAAGAGAGATATCATTGTCTCCGACATTGTAGTCTCTATAACCATAAACTCCACCCTCAGTCACATTCCAAATGCAGTTTGTGGGGCACCTACTCTTATCCCTATCAGCAACATACATGTCAAAGACTCCAAACACGTCCTCCAAACGACCCTGCGGGTAGCGTCGAAAATTTATACCACAAGTCAAAAGCGTGACCCCTCCAAAGCGAAAACTCCATTCATAGGCAGTGTTGCAAGCTATTTCATGGACTCCCAAGTCTTCAGTATTTGTTTTACAGTGAATTGTAAAATATTCCAAAGCAATTGGAAGATTGTTGTTGATATGAACAGTGGTTAATGGTGGGTCTGATGCCAAGGTTGCTTGTTTTCTTGCAGAGATGATTGGCAGATTCCAAACAGCAATGCACAACACAAGCAGAAAGACATGTTTGCTAAGAAGAGGATTGCACATTTTTAGATTCTTTTTTTTTTACTTTTGACATGGTGATTTCAATGGCGATCACGCATTTGCATATTTATGCAACAATTGTAAGGGTTTGGTAAACAATTTTGAATCCAATTATTGTGTCTTTTTTATATAACATATGTGGTAAATCCAATTTAATACATTCCCATTAGAGGGTGTGTGCGAATCATCATTCTCTTATTCTGAGTTTTGGAAATGCTGAGGTTATGCTATATTTGGTCCAACTGAATTCAAAATCCATATTCCACATGTAATTTTATAAGGAAAGATTAATTTGATCTTTTGGTATAGTATTATTATAGGAAAGAATCCCTATGTATTATTTCCATTATTATAGGGCCCTTTTGTTGAGTTGGATTATGTAGTTGGATAGGATTCATAACCCTAGTCAATGTTTGGTGGCCTAAAAACAACTTGGATTAGATTTTTTCTGAACCTACTTGGCCCAAATATAGTAGGATTATGAATCTTACCAAAACGTTGGGATTTAGTTGGTGGATTGGATTATGTCTAAAAAATGTTGTGTAGTTGGTGGATTGGATTACTAAGTCATGTAATAGCACATTTTAATTAATTCAACCCTTAATTTTGTGTAGTACCCAAGGTCTAAAATATCGATGGTTTCGGAAATATCGATAGTCCAAAAACACGGAACATCGATAGTACAAGAACACCCCCTGAGGTTTTAAATTGTTTTCACAAAACTCCTTTTCATTGACTTTTCATCCAAAGATTGATGATTTTATACAAAAAAATTCCCCAAATGACAAAGTTGACCTTTGAGATTAGATTGCATATACTTCATTGAGGTTAATTTTGTCATTTGCATAAGTTTTTTTTTTCCAATGAAATCATCAATTTTTTGACAAACAATCAACGAAAATAGGTTTTGTGAAAACAAATTGAAACCTCATGGGGTGTTCGTGTAATTTTTGAGACTTGAGAGGGTTTTGTGAAAACACAAGAAACCTTAGGGGGTGTTAGTGTAAATAACTCTTCAAATTTCCACTGCCTTCATCATCTTGATATTATCGATATTATAGCGATATTTTGGCCAAATGTTGCTGAAGTGTGAGAGAAATTATTGACGTCAATATTTTCCGATATTATTTTCGATATTATCGATACTTATACGATATGTGTATGGATATGTTCGAAAATATCCTAGACCCGAAAAAACTATAATATCCTCCATATTTCAACGATATTATCGATACTTTAGTCCTTAGTAGTACCAAACATATCATTGGATTAATGTTATCATTTCCAATCCAATGATAACATCTTGTAATGTTATCATTACAAGATGTAAAATTAGATGCGAATGTGTATGTGTTTTTTTTTCCATATACCAGGCAGTTTCTTCATTTACATCCTCAATTATTTACATCTGGCTTGGTGATCCTCTAACTACAAGAAGGAACATTTTTTATTTATAATTAGTTCAATAAATTTGCAAAGTTGGGTACCATACACATTAGTAAAAATACGTTGAGTTCATGCAAATACAAAATACTAACTAGACAAATTGACCGTCAGACCAAAAACAAAAAACTAGACAACTTGACCGCGCAAGTTGGATTTGAGATGCTAGTTTCAGCAGAAGAGCAGGAATGGCATGGGCCGAGCTGAGAAAAGCAATGGATATGGAAAATGGGATATGATTTCCCCACTCCCTTTTTCTCCACTTACACTCCCTTTTGCTTTTTAATACTTTTTAATCAATTTTGTTCTTTCTCTTTCCTATTCTATCCTTACTCTACGTTAATTTCTTTTTACTTTACTTTTATATTAGTTCTTTTCTTTATACTTAATTTTCCAACTTGCACTCTATTTTCAGTATTTTTTTTTCCTTTAATCAAGTAAGAAATTAAGTTTTTTTTCCTTTTAATACTGAAAATGGAGTGTAAGTTGAAAAATTAAGTATAAATATAAAGAAATAATATAAAAGTGAAGTAAAAAAGAAATTAATGTAGGGTAAGGATAGAATAGGAAAGCGAAAGAACAAAATTGATTAAAAAGTATTAAAAAGCAAAAGGGAGTGTAAGTGGAGAAAAGGGGAGTGGGGAAATCAGCTCCCTGGAAAATTACTGGGTATTGAATGTTTTTCTCCAACTCCCCTGTTACCATTACTGATTTGGTTTCCAACGCTCAGGTCCTCCTTTTCCGGTGATCGGTTGTGGCTCGATCATGGCGGCAACATCTGATTTTATTGGGTGTTTTTGTTGTTGTTGTGTTATTTGGGCCCCTATGTCCACTGTTTTAAAGTTTGGGCTTCTTTATGTTATGTTATGTTTGGCCCGATTAGTGTAGATCGGGAGATCTAGACTCTACTTTTTGGGAGATGTTACAATGAGGAGTTTAAAATGAGGAGGTTATTTGAGGGGACTAATCCCACCATCAAAATATTTAAAATGTTTAAGTTTCATGATTTCTTTACATTTGTTAATGGTGAGATTGACCTCCTCAAATAGCTTCCTCACTTTAAACTCCTCATTATAGCCTCCCTGCTACTTTCTTTAATTTTAGTACAAGCAATTTGGGGAGGGGGATTTACAAATATTCATTGGGTGCCTCACGGTTTTAAATCTCTGCCCACGTAAGTGAAGGTGGAAGAACCCAATCAACTGAGTTATATCTATAGACTCTACTTTCTTGTTTCCTTAGAAAAGTACAAATTCTGGTTCCATGCAATTTCTCCTTATTGGGCCTTTCCAAGGGCTTTTTTTTGTCTTCCTCCGTTCCGAACGTCACAATTGATTTTAGATTAAAATTCGGTAATATCATGTATTATTATTGAAGTACGTATTAATTTTTAGTTCATACTACATTTAAAGTCCGTATTATTGTTGAGATGAGTAATCAATTGGTTTTGGGTCCAATACTTCCACATCAGAGCGTGTCATGTCCAACATTTGAGCCTATATTATTGAGATACGCACTCAATTGATTTCAGGTTGATTAATACTTGAATGAAAGAGAGTGTGTCCCCATCCAATTGTATTTGAAGTATATCATTGAGAAGAGTAACTGGAATTATGCTGTTATGAGATTGGGAAAAAAAAAACACTGTGAAGGGAACAGTGCATAGATAAAATGAAGAGTTGGAAAGCAATTGTTTTTCCTTGATACGGAAACAGAAAAAGACTGCAGATGTGGTGCAAGGCATGAATGGTCTCTATCTTCGAAGCACGTAATGGGGATTGAAAATGCCAAATGTTGGTTTTGTTGTGACTTTTGCTTTTGCACTGATAAGTTATATTCAATTCTCTGGGAGAGATAAACTTGCTTTTGTTCCACTAAGCCAGGCCACGCCGTTTTGAATCGACACATAGCCATATCCTCATGATGCTTCTTCAATCCTTTAGTACCAGCACTGCTTCATTGGGACATCGTACATTCTGCTCACAGTTTTTTCTTCTTTTTTTCCTTGTTATAAAACGCACGGGAGGAATTGTATTTCGAGGAGTTTATGATTACTTGTTTGAAATGTCAATAATAGCTCCCGTTACTTTTTTTTTGTTTGTAAAAATATCGTATGAGGATTGGGTGAGACGAAAATATAACAGTTACTCTTTCAGATCCTGTGTTCGAATCCCCCATTCTCTAATATCGCTTGTATAAAAAAGAAAATTAATAAACAGTTGGACTTGCACAAATGTTTTAGCCATGAGACACATAATGTTAATCATGGCAACGGCCCTTGAAATGGTAAATATGGAATCCATGTAAACCTGAAATTATACTATTTGGATTCTGCCTGCATTTGGCTTCTCCTTCTTTTTGATATTTTTGTTTGATAGATCTTTTGTACAATTTTACCGCAAAAAGAAAACAAAGTTCCACAGAGGAAGTTTGGGAAGAAATTTTTTTTCCAAACCGACAAAAGGCCTGCCATTAACATTCAGGTAAGCATTACAATTCCAATGCCCTATGGAAAAAAGAGTACTATTTTATTACATATTGCTTAGAGTAAACTCATAATTGAACCAAAATTGCATTACAGTCGTTTCTAACATAACACAATTCAACTTGGGGTTCCATCTGTGACTTAGCAAAGCAACATGGAAATATTTAATTTTAAAAAGGAACCCAAAAACAAAAATACCCTCCAAATTTTTTTTCCAGTAGTCCATGCACTTTGTTAATTATAATGAGAACTGTTTCCCAATCATTAATCTTACCATGAAAAATCTTTTCTCCAGTTTACTTCATCATTGCTGAAATAGAACCCATCTTCTCTGACCAACCAAGAACACTTCCTAAAAGGACCGCACCTCTGTGCATCCCTGGGAGCCTTAAAGGCTTCAAAGCTCCTTCTTGTTCGGTCCCATTTCATTGTACATTTGAAACGGTCGTTGGTGCCCCAGAAATTGGTCCTCAGCCTCCAGCTGAAATCATCATGCTCCTGAAGCGCACGTCCACCAAGATCACTGTGTTCTGATGCACACCAGATGACAAGAGGCAGGGAGGAGTTGTTTGTGAAGCCGTTGATGACTCGAATATCGTATTCGATGCCGTAGAAGTTCTGGGGTTGTAGTATTGACATGAAGATCACCAAGGACGCTAGGCCACAGATGAGGAGAATGCTGGTGAGGATCTTCATATTTTTGTGAAGTGAAGGTAATATTATGGTGGAAATGATAAATGAGCAATGCTTTTAAAGCTGGCCATAAAGAAAAAATCGTTTTCCAACTTGAAATGGTAACGTCATAATGGTATACCAACCTCCACCAAGTATTATACCAAATATACAAGTATACAAGATTTTTTTCTGTCCTAGGATCAAAGAAAGTAATGTGATACACAACATGGAGAGTGAACCAACATTTTCTCTCTTTTCTAATTCGGGAGAGGAGAAAGTGAGAGTCGAACTTTTGTTGCAGGTGTAACTGTATACGAGTAACTTGCCTAATCAATATCTGGCCACAACCCTTATGTTTAGTTATTTACATGATGTTTGACAGTGCTAGATCTGGATATAATTGGTTTTATAATATTTGAATTATATGAGACTGTTGGGTATATAGGCGATTAATATTGGTTATGCAATACGTGATACAGGTAAGATCATATGTGATATGTATAACTTCCCACCACTATTTTTGCATTGATGAAAATTTTATCCGTACAACTATGCAAGGCTCCACACGAATACCAAATAAATTTAAAGCATGCAAATGTCAATATCACATCACTTCCCAGCATTTTAGATATTATCTATTTGTGATTCGGACGTTGCTACACTTCAACGCAGCAAGCAGATATATTTCTTTCTTTTTCAGCCATTAACTTTGATGCGAGATCTTATAATTCAAGTGATTAAAATTATTTATCTCAATTTGATACTTAACTTTCATTTTGTCGAATACGAAGATAAGACCTCGAGTATATAGATAAATAATTTTAATCACTTGAATTATAAGACTACACAATATCCATAAAACCCACTAAAAATAACACTTAAGTCCACACATAAATGCCGAAAATCATAGCATTTTATGTTTCGTGATGAGGAGTGAGATGCATGAATTGAGTTTTTCTTTTAATGTTGAATAAGTATTTTATGTTTTGAGATTGATTATTATGCTTGAATGACATTTAGTATTTATATTTTTTTTATAGAATATTTTGGCTCAATAAGAATTAGTATATATGTATTGTATTATTTATAATTGGCTTATTATCACAAAACGTCCCTAAGGTGTACGAAACTATCAGATTGCATCCTTAATGTATTTTTGTGTCACTCGTGGTCCTCAAGATAAGTATGTGCGATCACAAATGCTCCCTGCCATTAGGTTCCGTCAAAAACTCCGTTAGTTTGCTGACATGACATATATATATATATATATATATCACAAAACATCCATGAGGTTCACACACCTATCACAAATGGTCCCTACGAAATTTTTTAATTTTTTAATTTAAAAATTATAAAATTTTGGTTTTCTTTTTAAAATTATTTATAAATGAAAAAACCATTTATAGAAGGATTTTAATCTTGAGGATCATTTTTGAACCCTAAACTCTTAGTTTTTTCATTTTTAAATTATTTTTTAAAAACTCCACTAGTTTGTTGATGTGGCATATATACGGAGCCCACATCTACAATAATATAATGTCACATGTATTTAAAATATAATATATATTTTTAAATTAATTTTTTTTTTAGGGACTATTTGTGATAGGTGTGTGAACTCAGGGATGTTTTGTGATATATATATATATGCCACGTCAGCAAACTAACAGAGTTTTTGACGGAACCTAACGGCATGGACCATTTGTGATTACACATACTAACTTTGAGGACCACGAATGACACCAAAAAACATTAAGGATGCAATTTGATAATTTCATAAACCTTAGGGACGTTTTATGATAATAAGCCTTTATAATTTTTTTAATTAAAATAAATCAATGTTCAAAAGGCTTACCCTCAATGTTTCAAGGCTTACGCATCGCCTTTTAAAACATTGCTTTTCAGCAAACCTAATCTGAATTTTTATGTGACAACCAGGACTGCCACGAGTAATAATTGGGGATTGAAAAAGATCCATTAAACTAAGACCAAGTTGTAGGCTGGTGGATAAACATGAAGAGTAATCTAGCATATCTCAAGTGGTGCCAGTGGCAGCGTTTTGCTGTTAAAGAGCCGCACATGATAGAATAAGAGGTGGTTTTTATCCGTTCTTTGTTGTCCATAGATCTTCTGTATGGCTTAAAGCTAGAAATCTAGGCAAAACGACAACAAAGCCAATGATATGGAATCTTCTTTGTTGTTGCCAAAACCTATGATATGTAATCTAGTATAATGATCATGGCAGAAGAATTTCTTTTTGCCCAACATCCCAACACTTTCAAAATTGAATGCCGACGACCTTAATTCAGCCACCTTTCCTTTCTAAATATTCTAGGTCTCTTTTATCAGGCTTTGCTAGCACTTCAAATCACTTAACAAAAAGAAAAAAGGAAAAGAAGAAAAGCTATATAGCACTTGAAATTGGACTTGTCTAAAGTCCAACCCAAGTGTATACGGGCCTTTGCCTTTGTGTTTATCTATTTCTTCTGGTTGGGGCCAGTGAAACATTTCTAGGATTTCTTCATTTCTTTGGGATGAATTTTGTAATGGCCAGCCTATATAAAAGTTTTTGGGCTTGAGGGAGACAATTGACCTTGATACCATACTCCTTTAAGTAATAGGATTGGGTTAGCTTAATCCAATGCCATTATTGTTGCTAAACAATGAATAGGAATATGATAAAAGGTAATCCTAGGTACTGTTTAATGTGCATTTTTGTATCATAACTTTTTTTTAGTACAAGTGATAGTCTAAATTACATGGGAGGAAGGTTTCTCACATACACTCTCACACAACTAAGATGTCATGGGGGTTTGAACTCATGACATCTTATCTGCAAGTTAAGGCCCTTTTTCACTTGGCTAGACCACGTTGGCCTTTGTATCATAACTTACTCCTATATTTGAATGTGCATTTTTTTAAAGGATAACTTATACTATATATAGTTAAGGTGGGATACATAATCCCAGTACTCCAATCGTTGACCTCATATCCAGACCCAGGAACAAGGACACAAGTGCTAATAAAGGATACTTATCGGCAATGTTTGGTAACTAAGATTTGATTGAATTAGGAAATAGGATTGGATCACATTTTGGATTGGAAATGATAAGTATCCTTTATTGGCACTAGTTTCACATGTCATGATTCCTGCTCTTGGCACTAGTGTCATACGTCATGATTCCTACTCTTGAGTCTTGGGTTTGAGGTCAAGTGGTTGGAGTAGTGGGATTAAATATCCCGCCTTTTTTTATAGGATAAGTTATCATATAAAAATGCACATAATACTTTTTTTATTTTTATTCTAGGCAATTGAATCTACTGAATTGTTGTTCAGTTATGGGAATATGGTGGGATTAGCTTGTGTCCTATCCGCATTCATTTTTTAGCACCAAACATGGCATTGGATTTAGCTAATCCAATCCTACTACTTATCATACTCACCAAACAATGTCATCATTGCCAATCCAATATAATATAATACAATCCAATCCTGTCACCATTATGAAGAGCACAAAAATGGCTAATAACATATCGATTTTGTCCTATAAAAAGTGGTCATCTTCAATCTTGAACGCAGGTTTCCTCCCTATATAGCAAGGAGCGTTTGAGTACTAAAGAATTTGTCTCCAAGTTTGGAAAGGCTTACACGATAACATTTCTCATTTGTGCATCCATATATTGTTTTTGGAAATAAATCTTAGAATAAATTGCTGGCGGCCAAAAATCAAAGGACTAAAACTATAATTGGAATAGACACAAACTCTTATTAATCCAAATATTAGGTTCTCAATGATTGGAATCTAATTATACCTTTAATTTTATATAAGAAAATGTGGTAACATTGTTAGCCTTTAGATTTCCAGGAGAATTAGGAAATGGCTTATCTAATATACACTAGCCGTGGGGAATTTGTACTATAAAATGAACCACAAGGCCCTCTTGAACTTTGTCCTGCTTCAATCAAAAGAATTCCAGAAGAAAAAAAGAACCATTTCCCCGCAGGAAACAAAAATGAGCCCTCCTATTAGAAATGTTGTTATGGCACTGCTAGTTGTGCTTTTAATTACAAGTACTGAGGCTGACGTGTTGGAAAATTGGCTCACATAAAGGATATAAGCTTCGGAGACAGAACAGGAAGCGACCGGTCGCAGGAGACTCTGCCTAAAAGCGACCGGTCGCACGAAGAATACGACCGGTCGTTTTCAGGCAGGTTCGAAGTCTGGAGCAAGAACTTCTGGGGACCAGTCGCCAGCTCATGCGACCGGTCTCTTTCGACTCTGCCAAAAAGCGACCGGTCGCAAGAGGCCAGCGACTAGTCGCCCAACACGTGTTGTTTCAAATCTGCACTGTTTCTCAACAGTTTCTTTAGTGTGCTATCATTTTCTACCCACTTGCAAGGATATTTTAAGTCACTTCAGACTTAAATGAAAGGTGGCAAGTTGCTGGGAAGCAAGGAGAGCAAATTAAGGAAAGATGTTGGCTTGTTTCAAGGTGTTCCTATCCTATGGTCCTTTATTGGGTAGCTGAACTTGTAGCTGTCATTATCTAGCCCTTTGCCTGCCTAAGGTGTGAACTACTTCAGTAAAACAAGGGCAAAACGTGGGAAGATGTGATTAGGCTTTTCTCAAGTCCAAGGGGTTGTGTATTTGAGAGAGGAGGAAGCAAGATAGAAGTGTTGGAGTGAAGTAGCTGGAAACTAGTGAGTCAAGTAGAAGAGAGAGTTCTCAAGTGTATCAAGGTGTTGAGCAAGGGTGAGAGAAAAATAGATTGTGAGGGTAGTGTTCTAAGGGGGTTTTTAGTTGTAAACCAAAGTTGTAACCTATTTTCATTAGTGAAATTTCTCAAGGGGATCACCAAGAGGATGTAGGCAAAATTTTTGCTGAACCTCTATAAACACTTGTGTCATTTGTGCTTGGTTATTTTCAGTGTGTGTGTGTAAGATTCATCCATCATTGAGTCTTGTCCATAGTCCATCAACAACAAGGTCTAAAGGGGAGTGAATTGATCCTAATTCACAACAAGTGGTATCAGAGCTGCGTTGG